AGAGAGAGAGAGAGAGAGAGAGAGAGAGAGAGAGAGAGAAAGCCTGTAAAAAAAAAAAGATCTTTTTGTCTTACCAGGCTTACCAGCTGAGAACAAATTCTCAGAACAATGCTGGCCTTGCATGCTCATGCTATGTCTTAGCTAATTAGGCCTGAAGGCAGGGTGTACGATTACACACACACACACACACACACACACACATAAAAATGCCAGCATAAAAACAACCTCACAGCCCATCTCACCTGATCTGGTAATAACTGCATCAGGCCCCCTACGGATGGAAAACAGACATTGTTTCCTCACAATAAAGATTTATCTGAGCTCTAAATAAAATCACAAGGGTTATTAGCTTTTGTATCTGAACAATACTGAGTGATGCTGCCTTCACATTTGTCCAAAATAGGGAACCTCACCAAGATAACTGGCCACTGCTCTACCTACATAGGCAGCCTCCTCCTGAATGAAACACAGGGATGGTGATTATACTATGAAGTGCCCACAGTGGCAGTACTGAATATAGCAATATATTGTGTGATTCCTTGTATGCAGAACTTTCATTGCCCCTCAAGAAATCCATGTCATATGACCTGTAAAGCCTATTTTCAGACTTTATATAAATAAAAAAAATATGTTTAATGCATTTTTACCAGCCTACATATTATATAACTTTTCTAAATAGATAGTACAATTGGTGACCAATTCAGTTTACTCTTCTTAATTTTTTTATATTCTTGATATTTTATCCACGACAGTCTACTTTTTCTACTCTCAGACATTCCACCTTGTTAGAGAAATTAATTACATTTTCAATATTTTATAAATATGTGAGATATACTGTAGCGATTTAAAAACATGTTCAAACTCAACCATTATTTAACCACAATTTCTAACTGTACTGATACCAGTGATAATTTTGCCTCCATATTTGCACCCTGTTAGCTCTATGATTCCTTTGTGGAATATATACATAACAAGTAAATGTTCTTGCCTCTGGGTGTAAAGTGTCTGATATGTGCGAGTGTGGTGCCTGGAGTCCCACTCAGGTTGTATTTCTGCCTTACACCCTGAGAAAAACTGCAACCCTTACCAGGATAAAGCAGTTACTGAAGATGAATGAATGTAAATGTTTTTATAATATCAGTAAAGACTAACGATTAAGTGCTTGCACCAAAAAGGCAGTAAGTTTTGTAAAAGTCTTGACAAAAGACTTTTGCC